TATTTTATAATGGGGGTACAAACATTTTGGTTACATATAATGGCTTTGCGTTGCCGAAGCCAGGGCTACAAGCTTGCCCTTCCCCCATACATTGTGCACCTTACCATATCCGTTAGTTGTGAGTTTACACACCCTGCCACCCCCCCTCCCACCTGACCGGCACCCAATAATGTTACTTATATGTGAGCACTTTAGTGTTGATCAGTCAGTACCAATTTGATGGCGAGTACATGTGGTGCTTGTTTTTCCATTCTTGTGATACCTCACTTCTCAGGATGGGCTCAAGCTCTATCCAGGATAATATAAGAGGTGCTAGTTCACCATTATTTTTTGTAGTTGAGTAGTATTCCCTGGTATACATATAACACATTTTGTTAATCCACTCATGATTGATGGGCACTTGGGTTGTTTCCACATCTTTGCAATTGTGAATTGTGCTGCCATAAACTTTCGAATGCAGAATGTCTTTTTTTCCTTTGGGTAGATGCCTAGTAGTGGGATTGCTGGATCAAATGGTGTATCTATTTTTAGCTCTTTTGAGATATCTCCAAATTACTTTCCACAGGGGTTGTACTAATTTGCAGTCCCACCTATGGCACCTCTTAAAATCTAAGTTTCATAACTTGGACTTTTCCTTTAAGACAACCTCTGAAACTTATTGTTAATTTATAGTAGGACTATTTCACTAATAGGCTATTCTGTGAGTATGGACCTCAGAAAAGGTGTAATATTTTTAAGAGATTTGGACTACAAAATACGATGGAATACAGACAGGTTTTACAGCTAGTATTTACTGAGGACCACTGTATACTAGGTACTCGGTGGTGATAAAAAGTAAATGTGGTCCCTGCCTTCAAAAAGCTTATGCTTTTCTGGGAAAATACTACATGCATATTATTGGCTACTCCAAGAAGGTGCTTAGGTATCAAATAATTCAGAAAAGAGAAAAAATTACTACCTTGCAGAGGTAAAAGAACGTTTTCCAAGGTCAATATGTCTGAGCTGTATCTTAAAATAGTGTTTGTCAAACTGGGATTATAGATGTGACAATAAGAATCAAGGTTCTATGATAAAATGCAAGTTACTTTACCAATTACAAAGATAAAATTTTTCTTTCAAAGTGACCATTTGCATAATTTTTATAGAGTTAGTCATTAGTTTCTATATCAGTGCTTTTCAAGCTATGGTCTGTGGACCCCTGCCTGTCTGAAAACATATTCTCTAGGATCATAAGAATTTCTTTTAGGAATCTGTACATTACTCAGATTTGGGAAACACTGCTTCAATGGACTTACAGGATTTAGACATGGATAAAGGAAGGGGAAGCTACTGGTGAAAATAGTCCTTCCAGACATTGGAAATGTGAAGAAAGAAAGGACAGCATCGTTTATGGCTTCCTGGGGAATAGTGAAGTTCAACTAGGTTGAAGCACCAGGTGCTTGAAGAATATAGTGTAATATCCAGAAAGGTAGATCAGGTCTACACAGTAGAAGTCCTTTATTCCAAGCTAAAGAGTTTTTTTTTTTTTTTCCTTTATAAATTGGAGAGTTTTTAGTTGGGTTGCTAAATACAAAGCAATGTTTGAAAGGAATCAAACTAGACTGTTTAAGTAGATTAGCATGCATTCATAATGACCTTATTTACCTATTACAATTATTTAAAACCATTTTCCAAAGGTGCTATCATGACTCTTTCTTTTCTGACTCAATGGTTTTGGTAGGTTGTCATACTAGGGCCATAAGTGGAAGTATATGGTAGAGACAGGGTTAGATGCAATGATCAGGAAGCTGGCGCCCAGTGAGCCAACCTGGAGCATATAACCAGAACCTGTGCTTATGATGGCTCCTGACATCAAAGGTCAGATTTCCAGTTCATAAGTCCAGAAGTACAAGAAGGCAAGGCCCTGAGGCTGAACAGGAAGAAAATCAGGACATACATAGGCAGCAAATCAAGAGGCATTCAGAAACCAGGGAGCATTGACAAGCTGTCCCTAGACAATATTGTGAAATAGGCCAAGTTTATTCTTAGTGACTCTGGTTGACAGTTTAGCTATTGGTTGATGGTGGCTTAAAGCAGTGATTCTTAGCCAGGACATACACATCAGCAGTACCCATAGAACTTTAAAAAAGAATGTGCCAAGTGCCTATACCCAGAGGAAAGTGATTCCATAGAATTGGGATGGGTATTGGTCACCTCTTTTTTTTTTTTTTTTTT